GCCTTACTAATTATTAGGACCAGTTTTGCAAGAGAACAAATAGAGGTAAAACACAAATATGAAAGTAATTAGGAAAATGCAAAATCCTGTTTACTTGGCAACCGATTCATGCAACTGAGACTAACGAAGAGCAAATCAGCTTTGCTTGTTTGATAAACTTAAGGGTGCCACCTAAGAGGAGCTGATAAAAATTAAACTTCTGCCAGCATCCCTCAGCACTGCCTTTTAGCGAACAGGCTCAGCAACATCCACGCAACTGCTTCGTCTACAAGCACCAGCAAATCTCATTTGAACAGATTCAGGGGGAGGAATTCTGTAATTTCCATCACTGTTAAATGTCTTCCCCTTCGTGATCGGCCATCAGGGGTGTCTCCGAGCTGAACACCCAGCACGGGCACCCGTATCGCACGCGCACGCAATTCATATGGACACGGCGCACGTGAACGGCACGGTTGCAACCAGTTTTGCTTTGCTCCCAAAAAAGCATCACGTTTCCACTGCTCTTCACACCTGGGAAGGCTTTTGCCAGCGGGAAAGTTCTCCTTGGCGTCTGCGCCGCCGCTTATTACAATATATGACGATACATTACTCGACGCGGGCTGCAGGCTGGGATACTTTTGTCCAGTCCCTCTTTTCTCCCGAGCAGATAGTGTAATCCACAAAAGCTTCCAATTATTTCAAGACTATGCAGCTAAGGAGGGGCATCTAATCAAGATAAAGGAAACCCTCGGCTCAGTATATTTGCTTGAATGGATATTCAAGAATGCAGGTAACAAAAGCATTCAAAAATTGGATTCCTAATGCTTTTCTGCTAGGCTGAAGGACTGATTTTGAGAAGGGAGAAGAAAGCCAGCCCTGAGAAAGCTGCATGGAGGAATGTATGATATTCCCCCACTCTGTACAAACACTTCTGTGGGGACTGAGAAAAAGGAAGAGATTTAAGTGAGGCACGGTTGACCTGAAATGTAGTCAATTACAACACAAAGAGTTAAAATGACACCCCTGAACCTCTTCCTTCGTTCCCCTCTGCTTTGTGGCTTTGCAACCCAGAAGCCATAGTTTTCTTTCTTTTTATTGCTCATTTCTCATCTGCTGTTTGTACAGGAATCATTTATAGAAGTAACAGGGGGAACCGCTACGGAAATCACACTATGAAAATAAATCCGAATGAGGCAGAAAAATAAAGGACGTTACTTTGCAACTGGAGTTAAGAGATTCCTAGACAGCAGCTTGACTCTTATACAGGCAGCATTCAATGAAAGTCAATCTGGGAAAACCAGCACTTGGAGAGAACAACAGAAGCAGTCTACTTTTAAAAGGATCTATTAGGATTAGTAGCCACACGAGCCTAAATCTGCACCTTATGTGCACCTCAAACTACAGACCAACAGAGCATCCGCACGCAACATGCCTTGCTCCTGCACACATCCTGATCTGCTCCTCCAAGCCTCAGGGAAGCTTCCAGAGGTGCCACTTGACAACATGATCTTTACAGAAGACAGAAGTATTTCTTTCTTCTCTGAAAATTTTATTAGTCCAAATGAAAGCCTGCCCTGGCAGCAATTTGTCTCCTATAACACATTGGGCTGAGATCTCACAGAAACACAGAACAAAGCAAGAAAATTTAGATGAACACAACTTTCCAGTAACAATACCAGAGCTCTGGGTCTGTTTTAAGCATTCGAAGTATGTGTTAATTGACAACATTTTGAAAAACATGCTATTTTATGTCTTTTTCTTTTGGGAAACAAATAGCTGAGCTCTCATTAACCAAGTTGCTTGGCTTTTGGGGTAGATTGAAAAGCAGGATGGATTCACACTCTATTCTTTTGGTTAAAGCCCCTGCCATCTCTAAAACTGCAGTTGTGGCACACCCAGTACCTGCGAGGATGTGGCAGAAAGAGGCCACAGCACAGATGGCATGAGCCACGGGGAGAGCAGCGTCCCAGGGAAGCTGCTCTTGTGTCCCTGGTGCAGGTTCACAGCACCACGGTCCCCCTGCCCCAGGTGGAGGCAGCGCAGGAGATGCCACGCTGCTGCCTACAGCCACGGGGCTCTGCAAGAGAAAATACACGAGGTGCTTGCTCGCTATTGGAAAACCAGAGCAATAAAGTCTATCCCAACGTAAAATCCCATCCCATATGAAAAAAACCACATCCCTGCAAAGCTAGGGAGGCAGATAGAGCTGGGTTGGTCTCTACCCACCAACCAGGAGGATGTCAGGAGGACAGGCTGTGGCACCTCGGGGCACAGGCACAGCCAGGGCACAGAGCACATCCGAAACAGCAAACCACCAGGCTCCCGCAAAGGGCACCGTCCCACATGCTTGTCCTGACGGAAACCGACCCAACGACACTGCCCTGTGACCACAAAAACACAGCACAGCTAAAGAAAAATGGCTGTAGAAAACCTCTTGGCTCAGCAACAGAAGAAACATTTAAAGGCTAAATATACTATTTTGCATCTATAAAGGATGCTGCATTCATAAAAAAAAAAATATAAAAGATCCTCACAGTACAAGATTCACAGGTTTCTTTTAAAAGAAAACTCTCCTTTTTGAAACCAGTATTTTATTTAGTGATGAGCTTTTCCCCCCATACACGAAACAACACAAACTGTTCATTTGGCAACAGCGACCAAAGGCCAAACAACGGTACGTTCCTGCAGAGGCAATCACACCTGATTCCCTCTCCGCTGCTGATTCTGTCGCCTTTTGAAACCATTCTCATATTGTCAAGGACTAAGTCAGATTTTAAGTCCTGACTCTAAAATTTCAGCACTTCATCAGGCAGGTGGAGGACCAGGCACTACCCAGCTCGCTGCCTCAGATCTTTCATTTTCCTCAGCCCCTGCAGCTCTTTCTTCAGGTGCTTCACAGCCTGAAGAATATCCTGCCGCTGGGGATCGTCCTCTGCTTTCTCAGTGTACAGAAGGAAATGTTTCACAGTTTCGGAGAGCAACGCTTCAGGATCCACATCCCCCCGATGGAGACGCAACATCCTCTCACAGGCGATGGCGTAGTTTTTGTGCCAGTTCACCGGGTGATTTGGATGAGAGTTGACAATTTCTTTGTACGACTGTTAAAGGGGGAAAAAAAAAAGGAGGGGGGGACAAATTAATTGAATGAAGGAGACCAACAGCTCTTAACAGTGCTTCAAAACTGCCCGTAAGGGAACAGATGCTATTTAGATGTCCAAGCCCAGAGTGGGAGCATTTCTGTGACTAACTCTGTTTGCCATGCGATGCGCAGTAGCGTGAATCAGAAATCCAAGGGGGGATGAAATGTTTCCCTTCCTACAGCAGCTGTTTGTTTAGAAACGTTACAGATGATCGTGATAACCCCACCGCACATTATGCGCTTCCCCGAGAGAGGGGTTACACCAGGCTGGGGAAAAAAAAGAGATTTAACTGCCGTGCCTGGAAAGACATTTACTCAGTATTTCAGGAGATCAGGACGTCTTCCACAGGACTTAAGCAGTCTATTGACCTGAGTGGGAATATTCATAAGCTCAAGAGCAGGCACACGCCCGAGAACTTCGCAGAACAGCAAAAATCACAGCAAAATGGGCAAGAGTTGAAAGGAAACTCTTTGTTGACTCTTTGCTGGGATACGAAACGCTCCTCCTCTCTGTTGACACACACTGATCGTTTTGCGCATCTGTTGGCATCTCAGGCAGTCCAGTATTTCCAGAGATACCTACAACAGCTTATGGGGGTTATTCTTTGGTGTGAAATGCAGCAGAATTAATTTGCAGCGAGAAGACTGTTGGATTTTACATTTGCTGGCTTGGATGCATGACTGTGTAACGAATGACCGAGGGGACAAGTGCATCGAGGGGACTTCAGGTCAAGCAATCTCTTGGCATGGGTTTGCAGACCAGCACAGACAACACAATCACAGCAAAAGCAGGGTGTTGACTGGTTAGCTTTTGGCATCCTCCGTGACCGAGGGGGCAAGTAGGAATGGATAAAATCCCTGAACAAACCTCTCTGAACCTGCTATGCTCCCAGTTTGGATGAACAAGGGAGAATGCAGATTACAGGACCTATATGGAAACGCCATATTTCTACGGAGTCCAGAAATTAAAAAAAAAAAAGGGGGGGAAAAAAAAAAAAGATGGAGACTGCAGGGAGCATTCATAACCAAAACGTATGACTCACGGTGTACGCAAATGTGTAAAGTTGTGACTTCATTTCTGCAGTCACACTGGCAGTTTCTGCAAGGTCAAATATAAAGAAAGCTGTTTTCATCCTAGGAAAACAAGAAAAACTTCCATATAATAACTGCTTAACGTAACCACCTCACATCACATGGTTACACACACCTTCAACAATGTCCATGTATGGGACAGTACACCAGCATCTCCATTCAAGTCGCCAGTGATACAAATTCCTCCCCATGACGTATTTTCTCACCCTGTGCCCCAAATACCCTCTGCTCCTTGGAGATACTTTGAGCAGAACCTTTTGGTGAACAAAGCGACCATTTTCCTGAAGGATTTGCTGAAGCCCATGCACACTTTATCTCATTCTGCCAACCTTTTCCTTCTAAAGCTTGGCACATTTAGATCCAATAAGGCCATGCACCATCAAGCTGCCTGCTTTGGTGTGTATTTCCACACCAGCGAGTTGGCATCGCCCACCGGCTGTTGGAAGGGAGCAAAGGAGCATCACCTGGCCTGCCACATCTCCTCGTTGGCAACAGCTTCCCAGGAAGAGGGCTGGAAACTAAATGGGAATGAGAATAAAATTCAGCCATCAGATCCACATCACTGTGTTTCACCCACCGCACAATCACCCCTTCTAACCCAGGCAGCTACAGACCTCCCAGGCAGAAGAAAACCTGTCATGAAGCCTATGGCTCTGACAGCTGGGAGTTCAGCTGGTCCTCAGTCATTCATAAAACTTTACTCCTCTCTCTCCATAGGAGGAGCCTCTGGTATATCAGGTGTTTCACAGCATCCTAGCTATCCTCAAAGTGAGAGATGCTCTTTACCATCCATCACAGTTCAGTCTATGACATTCAAAGCTTTGGATGTCCCAAGTCTTCATTGTTTTTTAAGATCGGAATTGGACCTGATATCTGACTAGAAATGTTCTCTCTACTTTTAACATTAATAAAAATGTGGATTTATTATATGTTCCAGAACATTCAAAAAAATAATATATTATTATTTTAACACATGTGGATACATTCTATGTTCCAGAACACAAAATATTATGATTACAGCTCACGTTTAACTTCTCTAACACCACAATGGATGTGGTTATGCTGCTGGCAGCAGAATGATGAGCAGGAAGGAGCAGAGTCACCTCTGCCTCATACCTGCCATAGTCTTCAGTCCAGTTATAGAGCTCTCTTGTAAGGCGAATCCACTCTCCTGGGTCAAACACAACATTGGAAGGAACCAACTTTTCACACGTACCCCACGGCCAGAGCGAATAGCTCCTTCTCCAGGTTGAGTCACCTTCATGAAGACCTATGCAGACAAACACTTCCTTACTGCCAAGAAAAAAACCAGAGAGAGCGATCGTGAAGCCACGCCAGAGACTGTGGGCCACGCGACGTGCTCGAGCAAACCACAGGTACCACACCAGCACAGCAGACAGGTCTCAAGGAGCACAACATCTCCTGTGGCACAGATACCTGTCCCGACCGTTTCACATCAGAAAGGGCATGTCTTTGGGTCAGTCTGCAAAACAGCTCTCCCGCCTGCAAGCGAATACCCCATCTGGCACTGCACACCTTGTGCAGCCAGCACAGGAGACGCATCCTCTCCCCTATGTTGGACCTCACAAACGTGCCAGAAGCCGTAGGAGAAGCCTGTTCCTTCCCGACGGCACCTGGCAATGCTCTTCTCCCTATCCACGCTCGCGAGGCTCACCCTGGCTAGTCTAAATGCAGATGCTATTCTTATTCATGTGAGTATCTAATCCCTTCTCCACTCTTACTAAGCTATTTTTATATGATGATTATTCCTGGAATACATTCATTCTATGCTAATCAGTTGGCCACAATGTTCACGAATGAGAAGCAGAAGCAATTTGCTCTCCAACATCGTCATTTTCAGTACGCAGGAATGTTCCTTTTTTTGTGATGAATTGTATCAACGACAAAAAAAATAATCAGTAAATACTCTCTGCCGATCACCTTCTTATTTTTCTTTCCTAAAAACCAAACCAACCTCAAAACAACAAGCAACATTATATCTGGATGGGGTTACTTCTGCACAGATATTCGCTTTAATTGCAAAAATAATCTCACCACCAGGGAGGAAGTCAGTGGAGAAAATTGGTCTTTTGGATGCAGTACCAAGCTGTTCCATAAACAATTTCAAGAGAAAAAAAGGTCGAAGATTTTAGGAAAGCTGTTACATATGAAAGAAATACTTACTGTTTATTTACTTTGAGGAAACGATGGAGATTAAAAGTGAGTGTCCCATCGGGTAATACTCCTTCCACAGGATTCCACCGGTTCCCAGGAAAATAAACGCCAGGTAAATGCTTTGCCAGCTTGGGTAAATACCATTCATAAGTCATCATCTATCATCGAAAATATAAGCAAAATTAAAACAAGAAACAAAGTTTTCATTCATTTTACATCCAGAAGCTGAAGAAAATGGTTTCTGCAGGAGGAATGACTCTGTTTGCTCAGTAAGGTCACCTCCCATTTCAGCAATTGCCTGGGACCACATCATCAGACCAGGTCACCAGTGGTTTCTGATCAGAGGTACACGGTCCTCCCTGGTGAAGGGGACAAAGGAAATCCACAATAACTGCTGGTAAGAGACGCAACAAGGTTTTGGTTTGGTTAAATGTGAGGCATTGGGGTTTGGGTTTCTCACCAAGTCACAAACCCTTGCTGCAAAGCCAAGTGCAAGGACTGATATGGCAGTGGCATGTGTCGGTGTCCCCTCCTGTAAGGGGGATTTTTCTTCTCCCATTTCTCAGGAAAAAAGGAAAGAGGAAAAACACCACCCAGGGACACACAGCACCTCTGTTTTAATGTGAAAAATAGAGGCATAAATCTGCAGAACCATCTTTGGAGGACCAAGGTAACAGAGGGGATGCAGGGAATGAGCCTCAGCATGGTAAAGTCCTGGGGAGAAACCCCAAAGCTGCATCACCCACAGGGCATCTGCTGCCCTGCTGCACTCCAGGCTGTTCCCAGACACCTTCTGCTGCCCCACCATCTGTATTTCAGGGCAACCGCAGAAAACCGCAGGGACAAAGCTTCCTCAGCAACGCAAACATCAGCCCTGTGCCACAACTGCGTATCAGCCAAGATGAGGGCCTTGGGCTTCCCCTTCTCTCTACCCACTATTGCCTCTGTGTCGGCTTTTGGGGCCTGGATGGGACTTGCACACCACACTCCACCCCAGAGCTACCCACTACCCTTTAAAAAAAAATCTCAATTTTATTTCTGCATCATGAATTTTATTTGAACAAAGAGACCCCCCTCGAGAAGAGAAAGGAACGACCGAACTTTGCTTCCTATTTTTAAATCTGCCTGTTGCCTCTTTGAATATTACTTTCTCAACCTACCTCCTGGTCCACTAAGGTGATATCTGGCCTCATCCCTTCGCAATAATGAACGTAACGAAGAGCATTCCCAGGCAAGTCTCCTCTTAGCAAGATCACTGCGCCCGTCGGCATAGAGGACAGCAGATTCCTTGCAAACTTATCAACAACATAGTTGTTGCTCTGATCACAAGTGCTTAAGAGAATAGATAAAAAACAGTATCTTAAAACAAGATATTTGCACGGCTTTCCACATCTTCAGAACAATTTAATGCAATAGGCATCCACAGGGGAAGTCCACCCTGGTCAAGTCTTTCTGAAAAGCATCATCTCCATTTGCAGGGACACCGAGATACAGAAATGAAGCATTCAGACTACAGTCCCACAGAAACCAGCACCAGAGACGTGAGCCCCTACAGTTTTGCCAAAATACACACTCATGGCACCCCTTCATCTTAATTCTCACTTTTTTCTCGGGCTAAACCTAAAGACTTACTAGTTGGTGCTGGAAGTGCCAGTACAACCAAGGTTCTGTAAAGTATTAGAAATCCTCTCCATCCTTTTAATGCTTTTAATTCAGCATTAAAAAGCCATGTTTTTGTAGCATCAGGCAGAAGAAGATTTACATTACCTGGGACTAGACCCTTTTTGTTACAGAGTCGTGTGTGCACACGCTCCAGGTATGGACCCAAGAAGAGGACACTCCATGACATGGCTCAGGACATGAGCTACAGCTGGCTCACCTCTGAACCAGCCTTTGGGAAAAGATGTGTGCAAAGGAAGGATTCCTAAGCATGAAGCTCTGCGTGTTCTACACTTCAGCAGTTCGTCATCCTCTACCTCAGCACCCCTACTACTACACTGATTCCTACTCAAGCCACTGCAGAGTCTTCAGCATGGTTTTGGGATAAGGAAGCCCAACACTACAGATCTAACTCTTCAAAAAGGGAAAAAAAAAATATGAGAAGCCCCAGGGCACAAGGAAACCTGAAGCAAAGGAAGGGAAGAAGGTGACTGTTCAGGTCAAACGAATTCTGCAAACTTCCTTAGGAAATAAAGCACAGGTTTAAGAGTTTCTTTCATTAGAAGTTTACCTATCTACAGAGTTTTCTTCCTTCAACCTACACAACATGCCCATTTACAACCTGGAGTGGGTGCTCAGTGATTTTGAGGGAGACCAAACAAGGGAGTCCTGCAGGCTGTGACCACACAGGCTCAGGTGAGATGTGAAAAGCGCCTTTCCCACCTCAAGACAAGGACAGAAACATCAGAAGCAGGGGTGGGGGGTTCACAGCAGCACTCCAACCGCACAGCACCCCACAGCCCTGCAAGGCTGCACCAAGACACGCACCCAGGGGGTTTGTTACCTGTAATTTGCCCAAACTTGGGAAGCGACAAGAGTGAGAGCAGAAAGCCACTCCAGCCACGGCAGCGCCCGGCTGCCCTCCAGCATGGTGCTTCCCACCGAGGTGAGCACAGCCAGCCCCAGCCCCGCCAGCACAGCCACCACAGCACTGCTCTGCAGCCAGAATCGCTCCACCTAGGAAACAAAATCCCAGAGACCCTATTTCTGTTTCTCCAGCTTCAAGGAAACAGAATAAGTAGGTGTATTTTTGCACTTTACACAGCTTCAAGAGAACCACCTGCTCCTGATCAGGTGGTTTTAAGGCTTCTTCTAAAAATCAACAGGCCAGAAAATTTTTGCAGTGCAACTTACCACACCCAGAAACAGAGGCTTTGTAATATCCAAATTTGCTCTCCAAGCAAAGAAAAGGGAATAAAGACAGAGCATGCCAGCGAAGAGCCAGATCACAGGTGATTTCTGCTGCCTTGTCCTATAAAAAAAAGAAGTAGCAGTCTAGTGGTGTGATGAAAAAGGAGACAAAAGTTAGATGTGCTTGAAAACCACTATCTCTCTGCATACCTAAATGCATTTAATAGAAGGAGTTGATGAGCCTTTCTTTACCTTTGCAATTTATGAAACTTCTGTTTTCAAAGCACACAACCATCAGGATTTCAAGATTTTTAAGCTTGCGATCTACAAAGCCACAGCATGACCAGGAGGAGAGATATTTTGCTAATTAATAGATGACCACCACCAA